TCAGCTGGCAGCTCGTCGGGGGCTCCCGGACCTCCCCCCGGTGAAATCCGGAGCGTGCGGGAGCTCCTGGATGCGGCCGCAGGTCTGAGCGTGTCCGAGGGGCGGCTGAGCGTGGGTGGGGGGGTTGTGCTGGTGGTGCGGAGTGAGGGTAGGGAGCTCCTCTGGTGGCAAACACGGGGCTGGGGGGGTTTGCTGGTTGTCAGGGGGGAGCTCTGAGCGGGGAGCGGGTCCGTAGGGAGGGGCAGGGCTTCTTCCATTGTGGTTATCGTGCTCTTTGCTTCCCCTGAGCCAGCAAAAGGCTTTGGGGGGCTAACTTCAGGGCAGCACCCCGGCCACGGTTTGCTGTCCTGCGTGTCGGGCTGCGATGGCTGTGAGATGTTGGCTGCCCGTAGCGAAATAACACTAAAATAACCATGTGAAAAGGGGCTGGGGGCTCTGGAACAAGAAACATGAGCCCTGAGGTTTTTCTCCCCCTTTTTTAGGCAAAGCAGACAACGACCTGAAGGAGAAGTAAGCGAGCTGCTCTGCTTGGCACACTGCTCTTGGGCTGATCCCGCGTTCACACCTGGGGGTGCACTGTCATGGGCAAGGGGGCACTGGCAGCAAGAGAAACCCCGAGGAAGCTCCTGGTTTCCCCAGGCTGGTTCCCTCTCAGGGCTGCTCCAGTTTGGGATGCTGGGAGGAATGCAGGGGAGGCGAGGGGAAAATGGGGTTGCTGAAGCTCTGTGCTTGCTGGGTGGCAGGTTGTATGACCTGTGCCTGAGGGTGTTTCACACGGATTGGGGTGATGCAAAGGCTACAGGGCTTCGTTTTACCCATCCTTATCCCCTCCCCAGCTGTCGGTTCTCCCAGCATCCTCACAGCTGCCGGTACCAGCTGCTACCGAGCCCTTTCAGGTTTCCCCCCAAAGCAGCACGCGCGCCTGCAGTCCCGCCTCTGCTGAGCTCTGGAGCAGTTTTCCTGTTGAGTCCAGCTGAGCCAGGACACTCTCCAGATCCCAGCCGGGAGGCACTGACTGTGCCATGGCACCGATGCAATCCAGAGTCGCTCCGCTGGCATTTCCAGGGTGTAACGCTGGATTAGCTGGGGTCAGAGTCCGGGTTAATCTCTGGTGCTATTCTGGGCTGGGATCATGGCATGAATTGCCCTATATAAACCCTCCCAGGATGCTAGGGCAAAGATGATTTTATGGTCCCGCTAGACAGCACCCAGTGACGTTACCCCTCTACCCTTCTTGCACACAATAGACGGTTCTAGGTTTCCTGTGTCCTCTGGGCTCGATTGTGACTTGGCCTTACACCAGATTTATCACTGTGCTGTGACCTGCAGTGGCCCTGACGGTTCCTCCTTGCTGTACACTGGCGCAGGAGAGGCCAGGATCGGGCTCACTGCCCACACTTTGCACAACTCAGGCTTTAGGAACCACGTCTGCATTCCCTCTGCGCTCGGAAGGGCTGGGACACTGATTTGTCCTTAATTCAGCGTCAGATTCGTGGCCTTCCCTCCCTGTCCCACAAACCAAAGCCTCCTCTTTGAAATCAAGATTTTTGAAGAGGGCCAAACCTTTCGCTGACCCGTGGGGCTGGTGCAGCTCCGGCACGACGCGTGGGGGGTTTGGTGAGGCTGTGCCGGTGCGGCCGCGCTCGGGGACGTGTCGGAGGCTTTTCTCCGCCTGCGTTCTGCTAGAAAGGCACCGATAAAAAGTGCAACGTGCCAGCTCCTTCCCTGGAGCTCACTGCTGGTCCTGCACCTCTTGCAATACTGGAAATAAAGCACTGGTTCACTGTGTTGGAGAAATAACCTCTGTTTTTTAAAAGCACTGGTGGTGCGTCTGCCCTGGGATTCCTTCTCTGCTCAGGTTTCCAGTTTGGGACGGGGAGGCTGAGCTGGCGGTGGGATGCATGGCGCTAACACAGGTACAAAGCCCCAGCCAGGATGCTGAGAGCAGATTCCATCTGGCGTCTGTCTCCAGCCGTGTCTCGCAACCCACAGCATTGGCCTGCGGTCGGTGCGTGTGGTTTTATCCTGTATCTGCTCCCATTACCCCCCGTTTCGCCGTGTGAGAGCGGGATGCTGATACTGTGGAGACCGTCGGGCATTCCCAGGGTCAGAAGGGTTCCTTTCCTCTACAGTTAGCATGTTTGCCCAACTGAAGCTGCCTTTAACTCATGTCATCGTGTGTTCTTGATGCCTCCTGGGCTGGCAGGATTCTGTGGACAGGAGGGATTGAGTTCTAGCAGTGTGTCACGATAGTTTCTCCACATGAAGCTGCCAGCAAGGCTGGAAGCTACAACCCTTCTCTGCTTCCCAGAGGTCTCTTCACCATGGCAGGGTTGGATACCAGTTCATGGAGGCTGGAGACTTGAGCCGGGCTTTGCCAGACTCCAGTTCCCTCCTCTGAGGGATGAAGTCTGCTCTGGAGCACAGGCGCCAGCCCCACGTCTCCCTCCTGCCCTGCCACCGGCTCGTGCCCCGTGGCATGGCCCTCGCTGCCTTCCC